GTAGCACTTTAGAACAATCTTGTTAAACCTATCGCACTTTAAGAACTGTGAGGTTGATACAACTACCTGCTGCACTTTAAAAACTTGGTAGCTCTATCGATAGTGTTTAACACTCACCTACTGCACTTTAAGAACTGTGAGGTTGATACAACTACCTGTTGCACTTTAAGACCTTGGTAACGCCATTGATAGTGCTTAACATCTATCTACCGCACTTTAGGAACTGTGAGGTTGATACAACTACCTGCTGCACTTTAAGAACTTTGGTAGCTTTGTTGATTGTGTTTACCACCCACCCACCATTCATGCTGTTTCCGATTCCCTGGTACTTGCTAACCCTTCTGTTAATTATTTGTGGGGAAGGTAAGGAGGGGAGTGAATCGCAGATTTCTGGAAATAGCAGAGTCCGGGTAAGAAATGAATGGAAGGGAAAACTAGAACGAATTGTATCGGTAACAAATCAGATAACCAGCAGCGAAGCATGGGGTGAAATTATGGATGTGAATTGCGTCATGGAGGAGGGAGGGTGTTCCGTTGGTCGGGGAGCCCCCATAGAAGTCGTGGTGGGGAGGGGGAGATACGGGAAAAGGAGACCCCGAATTCGGCCTAGGGACCATACAACAACTTTAGTAATTCCAAATCGGTCTCCCGATACAGTAAATTGGTGTAACCAGGATGGCGGTCCCTCCGGATTGAAGGTGGTGCTGTTGAACGCCAGATCTGTCAATGGCAAAACAGCCTTCATCCAGGATTTAATCCTGGATGAACGGGCAGATCTGGCGTGCATCACGGAGACCTGGCTGGACGAAGCTGGAGGTGTGAATCTGACACAGCTTTGCCCTCCAGGTTTCTCTGTGCAGCACCAGCCAAGATCCAGAGGGCGGGGAGGCGGGGTTGCAGTGGTCTATAGAGATTCCATTCTTCTGACCAGGGCCCCCATCCCGCAGTCAACAAATTTTGAATGCGTCCACCTGAGGGTGGGTGACCGGGACAGATTAGGGATTCAGTTAGTGTACCGTCCACCTCGCTGCACTACAGACTCCCTGACTGAGCTAGCGGGGGTGGTCTCGGACCTGGCATTGGAGTCCCAGCGGCTGCTTGTGCTGGGGGACTTCAATGTCCACGCCGAGACCGCCTTATCGGGAGCGGCTCAGGACTTCATGTCTGCCATGGCAACCATGGGGCTGTCCCAACAGGTATCTGGCCCCACCCACAGTGCTGGACACACATTGGACTTGGTTTTCTGCCAGGGATGGGAGGAAGGTGGCGGTGTTGAGGAGTTATCCATCTCTCCGTTGCCATGGACCGACCACCACCTGGTCAGCTTTAGACTAACTGCACCCCCTAACCTCTGCAGAGGTGGAGGACCCATTAAGTTGGTCCGCCCCAGGAGGCTTATGGATCCGGATGGATTCCTGACGGCTCTTGGGGAATTTCCCGCCACCTCGGTTGGTGATCCTGTTGATGCCCTGGTCGCTCTCTGGAATGGGGAGATGGCTAAGGCAATAGACACGATCGCTCCAGAACGTCCCCTCTCAAGTAGCCGAGCTAAACCAGCTCCTTGGTTCACTGAGGAGCTGGCAGCGTTGAAGCGAAAGAAGAGGGAACTAGAGAGCGTGTGGCGTTCGAATCCGAGCGAGCCAAATCGAACACGGTTTGTGTCCTTTTTAAGGGCATATGCCGCGGCAATAAAAGCCGCAAAGAAGACTTTCTTTGCGGCTACTATTGCGTCTGCAAAGAACCGTCCGGCTGAACTGTTCCGAGTTGTCAGAGGCCTTTTAAAACCCACCATCCAGGATGGGTGCCCTGATGACTCGGCAGTTCGCTGTGAAGCCTTTGCTCAGTTCTTTGCAGACAAAGTCGCTTTGATCTGCTCTGGTCTGGACACCATATTAACTGAGCTAGCGGGGGTGGTCTCGGACCTGGCATTGGAGTCCCAGCGGCTGCTTGTGCTGGGGGACTTCAATGTCCACGCCAAGACCGCCTTATCGGGACCGCCTTATCGGGGTCTCTGAGGATGTAACACGAGCATCTGCTTGTCCGGTTTTGATGGATTCATTTCAATTGGTTCAATCCGAGGATGTGGACAAGGTGCTTGGAGGAATGAGAGCTACCACATGCATCCTAGACCCCTGCCCATCCTGGCTTCTGAAGGAGGCCAGAGGGGGATTGGCCGAGTGGGTGAAGGTGGTGGTTAATGCCTCCCTTCGGGAAGGCAAAATTCCAGCCAGCTTAAAGCAAGCTGTAATAAAACCGCTGTTGAAAAAAACCATCACTGGACCCCACTCAATTCGTCAACTTTCGGCCTGTTTCCAATCTCCCCTTTTTGGGCAAAGTCTTGGAACGTGTGGTGGCCTCACAACTCCAGGCATTCTTGGTAGACACGGATTATCTGGATCCGGCACAGTCTGGCTTTAGGCCGGGGCATGGTACCGAGACAGCCTTGGTCGCCTTAGTGGATGATCTGCGTCGGGAGCTCGACAGGGGGAGTGTGTCCCTGTTGGTGCTGCTGGACCTCTCAGCGGCCTTCGATACCATCGACCACGGTATCCTTCTGGGACGCCTCGCGGGAATGGGTCTTGGAGGGACTGTTTTACAGTGGCTCCGCTCATTCCTCGAGGGCCGGTCTCAGAAGGTGTTACTGGGAGACTCCTGTTCAACCCCACAACCTTTGTCTTGTGGGGTTCCTCAGGGTTCAATACTGTCTCCCATGTTGTTTAACATCTACATGAAGCCGCTGGGTGAGATCATCCGGAGTTTCGGAGTGCGATGTCATCTGTACGCGGATGATGTCCAACTCTGTCACTCCTTTCCACCTGCTACTAAGGAGGCTGTCGAGGTCCTGAACCGGTGCTTGGCCGCTGTGACGGTCTGGATGGGGGCGAACAAATTGAAATTGAATCCAGACAAGACAGAGGTACTCCTGGTCAGTCGCAAGGCCGAACAGGGTATAGGGTTACAGCCTGTGTTGGATGGGGTCGCACTCCCCCTGAAGACACAGGTTCGCAGTTTGGGTGTGATCCTGGACTCATCGTTGAGCCTGGAACCCCAGGTTTCAGCGGTGACCAGGGGAGCATTCGCACAGTTAAAACTCGTGCGCCAACTGCGCCCGTACCTTGGGAAGTCTGACTTGGCCACGGTAGTCCACGCTCTGGTTACATCCCGTTTAGACTACTGCAACGCTCTCTACGTGGGGTTGCCTTTGAAGACGGCCCGGAAGCTCCAATTAGTCCAACGCTCGGCAGCCATGATACTAACAGGAGCGGAGCGCAGGGAGCATACAACTCCTCTGCTGCACCAGCTCCACTGGCTGCCGATCTGCTACCGGGCTCAATTCAAAGTGCTGGCGCTGGCCTTTAAAGCCCTAAACGGTTCTGGCCCAACTTACCTATCCGAACGTATCTCAGCCTATCAGCCCACCAGGACCCTAAGATCTTCTGAGGGGGCCCTGCTCTCCATCCCGCCTGCTTCACAGGTGCGGCTGGCGGGGACGAGAGACAGGGCCTTTTCTGTGGTGGCCCCGCGGCTCTGGAACGCCCTCCCCATGGAGGTAAGATCAGCCCCCTCATTGATGGTTTTCCGGAAAAGACTATAAACCTGGATGTTCGAGCAGGCGTTCGGTTAACTCAGTGCAATAAGTGTAATCATTGAAGGACTGGCAATTTGGACGACGAAACTGGATCGCGATTTTAGTCAAGAGATGAATTGGATTGTTTATTGATATTGTGGATCGTGTTTTTATGCTTTTAAACTGTATACTGTTGTTTGTTATAAGTTGTTGTAAATAATGTTTTCAAATATTCTTTTCTTATCTAGTCTTATCTGGCAATTTGGACGACGAAACTGGATCGCGATTTTAGTCAAGAGATGAATTGGATTGTTTATTGATATATGTATTGTGGATCGTGTTTTTATGCTTTTAAACTGTATACTATTGTTTGTTATAAGTTGTTGTAAACCGCGTTGAGTCGCCGGCTAGGCTGAGAAACGGCGGTATACAAGTATAGCAAATAAATAAATAAAGGTCTCAGGTTCAAATCTGGGGAGTGGCATGAGCTCCCACTGTTAGCCCCAGCTTCTGCCAACCTAGCAGTTCAAAAACATGCAAATGTGAGTAGATCAATAGGTACCGCTCTAGCGGGAAGGTAACATCCACATGACCTTGGAGGTGTCTACGGACAACGCTGGCTTTTCAGCTTAGAAATGGAGATGAGCACCAAACCCCAGAGTCGGACACAACTGGACTTAATGTCAGGGGAAAACCTTTACCTTTAAGGCATTAACATTTTGCTATGAATATGCTGGAAACTGATTTGAGTCCCCCACCCCTGGGGGGGGGGGGGGAGAGAGAAAAGCAGTGTATAAATGAAGTAAATAAATAAATAATTCCACCCCTCCCCTCCTCATGCTTTATGTCGAAAAAATAGTTGGACCCTAATTTAATTGCTGTCATGCAATTCTGGGAGATCCTGGGAGTTGCAGTTTGGCTTGGCAGCACACTCTTGGGCAGGGAAGGCTGATTGATGTTGTAAAACTCCCGTATCACTGAGGCAGGGATGTGATATTATATTAATACAACAGTGTAGGTCAGGTATGGGCAAACTTGGGCCCTCCTTCCAGGTGTTTTGGACTTCAACTACCAGAATTCCTAACCGCCTCAGGCCCCTTCCTTTCCCCCCTCAGACGCTTAAGCATCTGAGGGGGGAAAGGAAGGGGCCTGAGGCGGTTAGGAATTCTGGGAGTTGAAGTCCAAAACACCTGGAAGAAGGGCCCATACCTGGTGGAGATGTCAAGTCCATGTTGGGCCACATCTTCTCCGATCTCATGGGTTTATGAGGAGCCTCGCTGCCAGAATGTGTGCTTCTCTTCTCTTAGGAATATCTCCCTCAAACCCAAGGGATTCCCGGGTGTCACAAGGCCCTCCAGGTGTTTTGGACTTCAACTCCCATGATTCCCAATAGCTTCAGGCCTTCCTCCCTCCTCCCCCTCCTCCTCCTTACACTGGATGGCCGGCGCCTGCGGATACTGGGCCCGGATCTCGGCGGCGCTGCCCCGGCTTCCGCTGCTGGTGGTCACGTAGTTGCTGGGGAAGATGCCGACGCGCTGGTCGATCTGCCCGGTCCACCAGCCCTCGTCACCGGACACCTGCGAGTCCTGGGAGAGCACCCGCACCACGTCGCCCGGCCGCAGGCTCAGCTCGTCCTCGCCGCACGCCTCGTACTCGAAGACGGCCGTCCAGAGGCCCGACCCCGATGCCGCCGCGTCGTCGTCGTCGTCCTCGGCCTCCGCCCGGCGCGGGCTGCGGGCTGCTGGCGGCTCCATGAGGGGAGGAAAGGAGAAGGAGGAGGAGGAGAGGGGCGGGCGGGGAAGGGCTCCTCCATAAGCCTCCCGCGCTCCTCATTCGGCAGCCGGCAGCGCCAGGTGCGGCGGCGGCGGCGGCGTCGTTGTCCCTGAGGGCCCGTCGAGGACGGGAGCCGAGCAGGTCCAAAACTCGTCCGCTCGGCGGCCGCGCCTTCGCTGCCCCATCGCCCTCGGCCGCCGCCGATTCCAACCGCGCATCCTTGAGCCACCTGACTGACCGGCAAGATGCAAAGGGGGCGGGGCGTCCGCCTAAAACCCGCCTTCCCCCCTCAAGGTCTTTGTTCCCATTCGCTCTTCTGGCCTTCCGTCAAACTCCTCCCTTACCTGATTGAAAGTCCACATGCTCCCGAAGCCCCACCCTCCCGCCCAATGCGGTTGTTCTCATTCGCTGTTCGGGTTGTCCGTCAAGCTCCTCCCTTACCTGATTGAAAGTCTGTATTCCCTAACCTCCTCACACACACACCCCTCCCACTCCTCGGAACAATCCCCGCCCCCGGGTCTAGTTCAGTTGTCTTGCACGCGCTCCGAGTCTCCCCTCGCTATTGGCCCGCTCTAGCCCGGCGCCGGCTTTCCATTGGCTGAGATTTAGCGTCAGTACCTCTTGGCAAAGGGGAAGATTGCGCCTCTGTGCGACCCCGCTCATCTGAATAGCGCATCTATTGGATTGTGAGCGAATGGGCGGGGCTATGAGGGGGGGGGGAGTTCTCTTTGTGCCCATTGGGTGGAAAGCGAGAAGAAGACGTTTCTTTGTTTACCATTGGCTAACCTTCACTCAATCGTTAACAGTATTGAGTTGCACCTGCTAGAAAAGCAGAAGAGAATGTAGGGGTGGGTCTGCACTGAAAAATTAATGCAATTTGACACCACTTTAACTGCCATGGCTCAGTGCTCTGGAATATTGGGATATGTGGCTTGGCGAGGCATCAGCACTCTGGCAGAGAAGGCTGAAGATCTTGCAAAATTATAATTGAGCTCCCATGATTCCATAGCATTGAGCCACCGCCGTTAAGTGGTGCCAATTTGCATTAATTCTATCACAATATTTCAAAGGGTTGGTGTGAGTTTTTCGGGCTGTATGGCCATGTTCCAGAAGCATTCCCTCCTGACGTTTGGCCCACATCTGTGGCAAACATCCTCAGAGGTTGTGAGGTCTGTTGGAAACTAATAATAATTATAACAACAACTTCATCTCCCTGAAGGGACTCAGGGTGGCTAACATGCGGCCAAGCCCAAGCAATTACAATAAAGCGAAATAAAATACATACAAGACACGCAACAACATCAAATAAAATTTCATTTATTTATTTACTGTATTTGTATACTGCCTTTCTCAGCCTGCGGGTAACTCAAGGTGGTTTACAGGGCAAAATTCAATGCCTGGAATGCCATAAATACAATTAAAAACATAACATGTAATAAAAACTAAAACAAAATCAATAAAACATAAATCCATAGTGTTTCCTTGTTAAAAACATTGTCCAGTCTCATCGTCTAGTTGTGAAAACGTGAGGTGATCCTTTATTTAAAGAATAACTTGTCACCTGATTACTTTAAAAACAATATTCATTTGTATTACTCAATACATGAACTTCATTCTGATTTAATTTGGATTAGTCAGAATACATGGTATAATACATTTTATTTTTAAAAAATATTTCTTAAACTAATAAAATGACTCATTGGCCAATTTATTATGCCCAGCTGGTTTCAAGTAACATATAACAGTTACTATGGTAATTATCGAGGAATGGGCTTGGAAGCTACATCACTTGACATTACTTTCTAAGTGTAACATCATTAGCTTCTTGTTCAGAATTAGACAAAACAAAGTAACATTTTAGAGGTAGATTGTTATTTGCAATGTGCAATATGCTTTAGGTCAAAGATCAAAAACCACAGAGAAGTCTAGAAGATTCTCTACCAAGATGGTTAAAACAGCCTATTATCCTATAACCATATTTAATGCTTTATATTGCTTTTGTTTTTCTATTTGTTTTTTCCTACTATTTGTTGTCTCTTACATAAAGCCTGTTTTCCATTTCTTTGTTTTTATTATCACTTCTGAGTAATTGTTCAGCCCATTATTCTATCAGAGATTGTTGTCTTCAAAAACCAAAACAGGAAAGGAATTGAGAGGAAAAGATGAAAAAAGTGCAAAACCTAGAGGACGCAGAAATATAAAGCAGTGTTTTAAACTTAGTGTATCTACACTACAGAATTAATGTAGTTTCATACTACTTCAATTATTTAAAATGTATTAGCGTTTAGTTTTGCTTTTTTTGGTTTTTGCTACATGTTCTTGATCATTGTTTACTCTTATTAGTGGTTGGTTATTTGCATTTTAGTCTGGAGGCAGCATTGCAAGGAGTTTATATTTAAAGCAAGTAAAAGTACAGGGTGTCCATAAAATCTCTTTACCAGGCATGTAGCTGGGGGGGGGGGGGGCTTTGGGGGCTTAACCCCCCCCCCCAAATTCTCATGGTAGCCCGCGAGAAGGCCTTACTGGTGCATTATTTAAACTGTTATGTTTATTCATATCATGATCTGATCACCATGCTCAATATATCCCATATGCATGGGGGTATTGGGGTAACAATACAAAAGGTTTCCTGGCTACGGGCCTCCTCTTTACCATTTAAATTTAATGTCTCTTTACAATGGAAAGAGACTTTATGGACACCCTATATCATATATACATACACATACGTTAATGGGGAATTCTGCATTAAATTACTACACTAAAATATAGATTTAACTAAAGAGAGCGACACTTTTTGGACACAGCAATTTCCAAAAACATTTCCTCTCAACATTTAGTAAGGTATATTACTTTTTCAATGTTGCTAGTCTTCACAAAAGCCAGCAAGCTGCACTGCCTCCTGGTGGCTGATATTTGTGTAGCCTGTAGGATTCACTTAAGAGAGAAAAGAATCTGCAGAAAGTAAAAATATCAAACCACCAGATACGTTCATCTGCTCATCTTTGTTGCAAATATGTTTTTGTTTGAGTACTGGACTTTAGTGACCAGGCTTCAAATTCCCATTTTTGCTGATAAATCGGGAAAATCCAAAAGAAGCAACGACTGCCATTACTTTTTGCACCACAGTGTTACTTCTGGCCTTTTCTAAATATAGGATAAGGAAAAAGTGGCAATGGCCAGACCCTAAGACATTACCGATCCTTTCCCTTCTTCATGGAATGATCCTTGACTTTTCCATGAGTCAAATTAAAATACATAATTCAGGCCCCATAACCTGCCCTTGACTTATATATGAGGCTGACTCATATCTGAGTATTTATGGTAATCATGCAACAAAAAACCCCTCTTAGAGTAATCATAAATCTGAAACAATGTGAAAGCACACATCACACAACACAAAGCAACTTTAACAGTAAAAAAAAACAAAAAACCCAAACTTTTGTATCCATGGGACTAGTACCCAGTTTCCTTTATCTATATCAACAAACTAGGACCTCTCTAGACATTTTCTAGATCAGGTATGAAACCCAGGCCCGGGGGCTGAATGCGGCCCCTTGGGCTCTTTTCTCAGGCCCTCCTCTCTCTCACCATCCTATCCCTCCTTCCTTCCTTCCTTCCTTCCTTCCTTCCTTCCTTCCTTCCTTCCTTCCTTCCTTCCCTCTTTCCTTTCACCATCCCTCCCTCCCCTCCTTCCCTCCCTCTTTGTCCCTTCCTCCTTCCTTCCCACCCCTTTGTCCTTCCTTCCCTTTCCTCCATCCTTCCCTCTGTTTCTGTTTCTCCTTCCTTCCTTCCTTCCTTCCTTCCTTCCTTCCTTCCTTCCTTCCTTCCTTCCTTCCTTCCTCCCTCCCTCCCTTCCTTCCTTCCTTTTTTCCCTCCCTCCCTTCCATCCCTCCTCCTATTCCACCCTTCCTTCTATCTTTCTCTTCCTCCTTCCTGTCTCTTTTCCTTCCTCTTTTCCTCCTGAGTGATGTTTAGCTGGGAGAAGAGAAGGTAGAGAGGGAACAGGAGAAACGCTTTTCTCTCCTGTCCACCATGAGCTAGAGATCATGACATCATCATCTTGACCAAGGCTAACCCTTTTTGAAATCCAAACATTTCCCATTTTCCTTCACTTTCTGCCTTCAAAAGGAAAGAAGAAGGGGAGGAAAGGGCAAGGAGGGGAATTGGGGAGAACCCCCTCTCTCCCAGCCTGCCCACCCCGCTTCTTCCTGCCATGCGGCCCCCAAGTTAGAAAGTTGGCCCACATCCATTCTAGATCTTCCAATACAACATTATGGTATTATTGGGATGGTGGTCCTTCATTTCTATAGCTTTTGTTATGAATTGTGGTTTCACATTTCTAACCAAAGTCCTTCAACACACCCCTTATATATTGTGCTTGAATTAGTTATGTTTATAATACTAGGGAATAATTCCTTGTTCTGAAATAATGAGCATAAATACTGTCTAATTGCCAAGTTACAATGCTAGGATTTTGTAATCATGTTTGCAACTATTGAAAATATAAACCTCCCAAGCCTTTCACTGTTTATTTGTTAATGTATATATTTGATGACCGGTACTATATGTATATATTGATTTGCCAGTTTGGCTTATCTCTTTAGTTTGGGTTATAGACATTTGATGTACTGAGCATGTTCAGACTCAGGACTCCATTTTATATTTAGTTGGCTTACACCTCATTGGAGGTGGATATGTTTGCATTAGACCTCAGTGGAGGTGGATGTATGTGTTTGACTTGAATAGAGAAATATGACTTAAGGACTTCAGTGAGTACAGCTATACCTAAAGACTATGGACAATAGATTAAGAATGATATCCTGTATATTCAACGCACCGAGAAGAAACTACATCCTATTTATAATAAGAACTGTGCCTGTATGGTGAATTAATACAAGTTGTTTATGAGTAACCCAGATATGTTATTTTTCAAAGAAGACTTTGCTTTTTTATCTCTTTGTGCATATTTTAACTAAGAGGTTTCAAGGGAGTTAATATCTTTTGGGCAATTACAACTGCAAATTCTACTTCAAAGAAAGAACGATCCTCTGCTAACCAAATATTGATATTGTTATTGTTTATTGCTTATTGTGTATTTTCTGTTTTTGAGTTTATTTTAACTGTTTTGTATTGATTATTGTTATTGCTTTTGTTTATTGATGTGCTGTGGGCTTGGCCTCATGTAAGCCGTACCGAGTCCCTTGGGGAGATGATAGCGGGGTACAAATAAAGTATTATTATTATTATTATTATTATTATTATTATTATTATTATATTTGTAGTGGTATGTCTTTATCCTTGGCAGCTTAAAGACATGGTTTTTCAGTTTAACAGCTGAGTTAACTGTGTGCCATTACATGAATGCTTATGAATATCACTTGTTCCAAGAGTTGACTTCAAACAGGGTTGTGCTTTTCTTGACTAGTTGTTTTCAAAAGGTGGTGTCCACATATTCATGAAGATTCACATTTGTGGCATAATTATTACCTTTTCAATAAGGTTATGGTGCAGTTATTTCCAACACGTTATGGAATTTCCAGTAGCAACACAGTACCGTATGTTTTGCAATTCATTTACGATACATCCTCAATAATGCTACATCAATTTTGTTGAGATCATTGTGCGTGTGTGTATGTATTTGTGTTGGCCTCCAGGTCACCTGTTGATTTATGGCAACTCCATGAGTTCCATGGGGTGTTCTTAGGCAAGGAATATCAAAGAGTGGTTTTGCCTCTTCCTTCCTCTGAAAATATAGCTTGCAGCCCTGGTCTTCATTGCATGCATGCACACACACATACACACAAATAAATGCTATTATAAAAGAGTTGTGTACATTGTTGCCTGCATTTGGAAGCTAGATTTTCCAATACTACAGGAATTTAACGCGGACACCAGCCCAAAGCTGCTGCTAAAAACATAGGCCTGGTTTCCTTTGCAGTCTGATCGCTGTCGTGACGTCAGAGCAACCTATTAGGCAGGGCCTTGGCAACAGGCTTTTTTCAGCTGCTGAGGTCGATCCCGTTGCTATGGCAACTAGGACGCTCTTCCTAGATCCCTCGGGAATGATTAATCTCGCGAGAAAGGCGTGATCTACGGGATGATTATATGTCTGAGTGGTTGAAGTTCCCCTTCTCATCCCCGTGAAATTCCTCAAATGTTTCTGCCTTAGTTTCTCATCCCCCTAGCATTTCTGTTCTCCTTGTCCTCTAGGATATTTATTATTATTATTATTATTATTGACACAAAAACACAGTATGACACAGCAAGAGATATATATGCTGGATTTAGTAGCACAAAATCATAAGTCAAACACTTCCCATGCGTTCAGGATTGTGTGATGTATTATTATTATTATATATTATTTTTCTATTATTATTTTTCTATATTATTATTATTAGTACTTGCTTACTTAGCCGATCTCTTGTTGTCCGAGTAGAATAGTCTTCCAAGATCGGTATCCTCGTGGTGGGTACATAGGTGACTGTGGAGCCCTATTCTTGATCTGTATCTTCGCCCACAGTGAGGGCATCGGATTTCAGGTGGAAGGCGGTCTCGGTCGGGGTTGACTTGATGCGCCTTCGTCTTGGCAAGTTTCTCTCCTTCGCCCTCCATTCGTGCCTCTTCACATTCTACAGCACTGCTAGTCACAGCTGACCTCCAACTGGAGCGCTCAAGGGCAAGAGCTTCCCAGTTCTCAGTGTCTATGCCAGAGTTTTTGAGGTTGGCTTTGAGCACATCTTCAAATCTCTTTTCCTGTCCTCCAACATTCCATTTTCCATTCCTGAGTTCGGAGTAGAGCAACTGCTTTGGGAGACGGTGGTTGGGCATCCAGACAACATGGCTGGTCCAGCAGAGTTGAAGGGGGAGGACTATGGCTTCAATGCTGGTGGGTCTTTGCTTCTTCCAGCACGTTGACATTTGTCCACTTGTCTTCCCAAGAGATTTCCAGGATTTTCCAGAGGCAGTGCTGATGGAATGGTTCCAGGAGTTTCATGTGACATCTGTAGACGGTCTATGTCTCACAGGCATATAGCAGGGTTGGGAGGACAATAGCTTTATAAACAAGCACCTTGGTATCCCTATGGATGTCCTGCTCCTCAAACACTCTCTGCTTCATTCAGAAAAAAAAAAGCTGTGCTCACAGAGCTCAGGCAGTGTTGTATTTCACTGTCAATGTTGACTTTTGTGGAGAGGTAGCCACCTCTCCACAAAAGTATTATTATTATTATTATTATTATTATTATTATTATTATTATTTGATACACAACAAGATTAGTACACAGCAAACAAGATAAAAAAAAGTACACAGCAAACAAGATCACTATGCTGGCTGTTGTATTTGATCACACGTCGAACATTTCCCAAGTGCCCAGGACTGTGTGATGGTAATTTTGTCTGCACCAATTGTTTTTATGTGCAGGCCAAGGTCTTTAGGCACTGTACCCAGTGTTCCAATCACCACTGGGACCAACTTTACTGGCATGTGTCAGAGTCTTTGCAGTTCGATTTTTAAGTCCTTGTATCATGTCAGCTTTTCCAGTTTCTTCTTGTCAATTCTGCTGTCACCTGGGATTCCAACATTAATAATCCATACTTTTCCTCCGCACAATTGTGAGGTCAGGAGGATTTGCTCCAAAATTGTGTCAGTCTGAATTCGGAAGTCCCAGAACAAATGCAGTTTGACGCCACTTGGGCAGAGTTAAAAATCTCATTGATGTATCCTCAATATGCAACTTCCACCTTCCCAAATTCCTGACTATTCAACAAACTGGCTAAGGCTTCTGGCAGCTGGAGTCTTCCGGGAGTTGAAGTCCAAACTCTTGAAGGACTTGAGCAGGCATCCTCAACCTGAAGGCCTTCCAGCTGCCAGAAGCCCTAGCCAGTTTGTTGAATAGTCAGGAATTTTGGGAGGTGGAGGTTGCATATTGAGGATGCGTGGATTAAAGTTTAACTCTGTTCAAGTGGTGTCAAACTGCATTCATTCTAGTAGACCTCACAACCTCTGAGGATGCCTGCCATAGAAGTAGGTGAAACATCAGGAGAGAATGCTTCTAGAACATGACCATACAGCCCGAAAAACCTACAACAACCCAGTGATTCCGGCCATGAAAGTCTTCGACAATACGTTCATGTAGAGTTTCCCAAACATTGGTCTTTCAGTTATCCGGACTTCATTTCCCACAATCCCTGCTCATGGCCGAAGCAGCCAAGGCTTCTGGGAGTTGAAGTCCAAAACTTGAAGGATGCGAGCAGGCATCCTCAACCTGAGGCCCTCCAACTTCCAGAAGCCCTAGTCAACTTGCTGAATGGTCAGGAATTCTGGAAGGCGGAGGCCGCAGGTTGAGGATGCTTGGACTAGAGTTCAAGTGGCGTCAAACTGCATTCATTCTCGTAGTTGTTTCCCAAACCCGGGTCAGCCAGGTATCTGGACTTCATTTCCCACAATCCCTGCTCATTGGCCGAAACAGCCAAGGCTTCTGGGAGTTGAAGTCCAAAACTCTTGAAGGCTGAGAGCAGGCATCCTCAACCTGAGGCCCTCCAACTTCCAGACGCCCTAGTGAACTTGCTGAATGGTCAGGAATTCTGGAAGGCGGAGGCCGCAGATTGAGGATGCTTGAACTAGAGTTCAAGTGGCGCCAAACTGCATTCATTCTCGTAGTTGTTTCCTAAACCCGGGGCAGCCAGGTATCTGGACTTCATTTCCCACAAGCCCTGCTCATTGGCCAAAACAGCCGAGGCTTCTGGGAGTTGAAGTCCAAAACTCTTGAACTACAGCAGGCATCCTCAACTAGAGGCCCTCTAGCTGCTTGGGCCTCTAGCTGCCAGAAGCCCTAGACAGCTTATTGAGTGGTCAGGAATTCTGAGAGATGGAGGTCGCAGGTTGAGGATGCCTGGACTGGAGTTAAAAGTGGCACCAAACTGCACTCATTCTGATAGCTGTTTCCCAAACCCTGGTTAGTCAGGTGTCTGGATTTCATTTCCCATAATTCCTGCTCATTGGCCGAGATAGCTGAGGTTTCTGGGAGTTGAAGTCCACAATGCAGGGCTAGCGTTGGGACCCTGAGCCCCCCCCCCCCCCCGGGCATTCGCTGCAGGGCGAGCGCGAGAAGGGTTGGCGCGAGCCTGTCCCTCGGAGCCTCTTTTCGCCTTGGCAACAGCGAGGGGCAGGAGGAGGCATGGCAGCAGCAGCAGGGCCTGCCGCAAAGGCTGCCGGTCCCTCGTAGGGGGAGGAGGAGGAGGGGCGGCCCGGGCGTAAGATGGCGGCGGCGCTGGCGGGGGGGAGGCGGCGGCGGAGGCGGAGGCGCGGGTGGCGGCTCCTCCCGGGGCTGTCGCGAGGCGGCAACAACGGCGGGCAGCGGTTGTCCCCGGCCTCGCAGGGCGGATAGAGTGCGGGCGGGGCCGGGTCGGGGTCGGTGCCGGGGCCGGGCCGCCATGGGCTCCCAGGTGCTGCAGATCCTGCGCCAAGGCGTGTGGGCGGCTCTGAGCGGCGGGTGGTACCAGGACCCGCACCAGGGCGCCGGGGTGAACGCGCTCCACCTCTACCTGTGGCTCTTCTTGCTCGGCTTCCCCTTCACCCTCTACATGGTGAGTGAGGCCTAGCGAGCGGCTGAGCGGAAGGAGGAAGGGAGGGCTTCGTGCCTCTGGGGAGCCAATAGACCAGGCATGGGCCAACTTGGGCCCTCCAGGTGTTTTGGATTTCAACACCCACCATTCCTCACAACCTCAGGCCCTTTAAGCAGCTTAAGCGGCTGAGGGAGAAAAGGAAAGGGCCCGAGGCTGTGAGGAATGGTGGGAGTTGAAGTCCAAAACACCTGGAAGGCCCAGCTTTGCCCATGCCTGCCATAGACTGCCTGAGAGGGACTGCTCCTGGCCAAAGGTGCTCACTTGTAGAGTTGTCCAAACATTTCATGCTGGTGACATGCATTTTAGACACGCATCGTTACAGGCAGTGTTTGAAATAGCAACCTTCCAAGTCTCCACTAATTGTTTGTAAATGTGTGTAATTGATAACCTATATTGTGTGTACATTTTGGTTTGCCAGTTTAACTGTACCTCTTTGGTGTGGGAGGGGCTTTGCATATAGGACTCCCATTTTTGTATTTAGTAAATGCTATTAGACCTCAATGGAGGTGGATGCAGTTTGTCTGCTTTCAGACTTCAGTGAGTACAGTTATACAGTTTGGACTATATCTATATGCTTAAAGACATTGGACTATGAACTAGTATGCTGAATATATACAAGAAGTTTGTTAGTAAACCTGAGCTGTTATTTTTAAAGAAGACTACTTTCTTCTTATCCTTGAGTGGATATTTTAACTAAGAGGTTTTCTTTTTGGGGAACTGCAACGTCAAAGAAACAACCATCCTCTGCTAAGCAAATATACATTTATAGTGGCATGTCTTTATCCTTGGCAGTTTAAATACATGGTTCTTCAGTTTAACAGCTGAGTTACCTGTATTACATTAATGCTTGTGAATATTACTTGTTCAAAGAGTTGACTTCTAACAAGGTCATACTCTTCTTGTCTAGTGGTTTTCAAAAAGTGGTCTCCATATGTTCATGGAGATTCACATTTGTCAAACAGATGTGACATCACTTTTAGCTTTTCAATAAGATTATGGTGCAGTTATTTCTAGTATGTTATGGAATTTCCATAAAAATGAAATGAAATCCTATGCCCAACAAAATAGGTTCCTTCTATGCATTTTCCAGGGCCTCCAGCATGAATCCATGGCAGAGCTTTCCAAACATTTCATTTTGATGACACACTGTTTCGACATGCATTATTTTGCAACACTGTTGTTCAATTTTATTAGCAAATTGGAGGTTAGGCCAATCCGCTTAAAACAGATAAGGACACATACATCAATTGTAATAACAAAAAGGTGTGGGAACACATGAAAACGTGTTTATACACACACACATGAGATTTATTGCTTATTTCACATAGATTCAGAGTTTTCTTGTTATGTTTGTGTAACACACCTACACCCCATTTGGAAAGCTCTGATTTACACTGCAGAATTAACACAGTGGCTCAATGCTATAGAACCATAGAAGATGTAGTTTTATAAGGTCTTTATCCTTCAAGGAGTTGTTCCTTGGGGCCCAACTGGGCTTTGGTTTTTTCTGGCATCGGGCCGAGGACAGTGTGCTTCCAAAGGTGCCTCAGACCACTCTAAAGTTGTTCTAAAACAGTAGTTCCCAACCTTTGGGCCTCCAGGTGTTTTGAACTTCAACTGCCAGAAATCCCAGCCAGCTTACCAGTTGTTAGGAACTGTGGGAGCTGAAGTCCAAAACACCTGGAGACCCAAAGGTTGGGAACCACTGCTCTAAAACAAAGGTTCTCAAACCTTTTCAGCCCTTTTTGAAGCAAAGGTTTCTTGTGGAGCCCCAGGAAATGTGTATATTATATATTAAAATGTATCTATATCAGACACAGGCAGAATTTTTGACCAACATAAATGTAACAGTATTTAAATGGAAGACCCTAGGGGCATTCAGTCCAACCCCCTCCTGCCATGCAGGAAAAACACAATCAAAGCATCCCCTGAGCGGAAGCAAGCAAGGTAAAGGGAAAAGGATCTGGGCAGTTAGGGAGGCAAGTGAAAAAGGCTTTTGAGGGTGAGGGAAGCCAGGAAAAAAGACTTTTGGTGGCAAGGAGAGGGGGGGGGGAGGCTTTTGGTGGCACAGGAGGTGGGGGAGGGGAAGGAGCAGGAAAGTAGAGGTAAAACTTGAAGGGGGAGGAGGAGAGAAGGAAATGTGGAGCCCCTCAGCATGCTTCACAAAGCTCCAAGGGCTCTGCAGAGCACACTTTGAGAACCACTGCTTTAAAATATGCCAGTGAGTACTTGTTCAGTGGACATGGACTACTGACTGATGGCTGATGGTTTCAGGGAACGAGGAAGAGGGGAAACAAAAATGTAATGGAAAATGCATTACTCCAAATGTGTGGGTGTTGTCTCCTAGGAAGGGGGGGGGGTGAATCTACACTGTAGAATTGATGCAGTTTGACACTGCTGTCATTGCATGCTGCTGTAGTTATAGTTTCATAAGGTATTTAGCCTTCTTTGCTCAAGAGTGCTAATGCCACACTAAACTACAACTCCTAAGATTCCATGGCATTGAGCCATGTCAGCTAAAGTAATGTCAAACTGCATTGATTCTACACCAAAGGAATCCATGACTTGGGTGTACAGAACTTGAACAGGGTTGTTGATGATGGGGAGACTTGCCATGTACCTACACTGAAGAATTAATGGAGTTTTTCCACCACTTTAACTGGCAGGCTTAATGCTGTGAAATCATGGGAATTGTAGTTTGGTTAGGCACCAACACTGTTTTTTCAGTGAAGGCTATAAGACTTGGTAAACTTAGAACTATCATTGAGCCATGACAGTTAAAGTGTCAACCTTCTTTAATTCTATAGTGTAGAAGCACCCCATGTGTCAAGGACAAAGGAGAAGAAGGCTCTTCAGTACAACACTTCAAAATGTAAACAGAAAGGGAGTTGTGGAGCTGTTCAGTGGAATGGTAACCTGGTTTTGGGAGTGCCATAAACACTTGCTTGAGGACCACTTCACACATTGCAAAATTCTTACTTTGTAACCACACTACAAAATTATCACAGTTTAGTGTTGCTTTTTATGGCAAATGGCTCAGTACTATAGAATCCTGAGATTTATTTTGTTGTTGTTATTGTGGCACCAGAGCTCTGTGACAGAGAAGGGTAAATACAGTATCTTGCAAAATGACAAATTTCAGAATTCCATGTTGTCTGATCAGTTGATTATAATAATAAATTGCAATTTCAGAATTCCATAGCATTGTAGTTAAAGTGTTGTCAAACTGCTATATTTTGTAGAGTGGCTAGATCTATAGAGTGTGTGTGGAGTTTTGTTTTTGAATAAATGTTTCATCTGAGTTTGAATTCGGATGGGTGGCGGGTTGACATTTGGGGTATTCTTCTGTGTGTGTTTGCGTTTGCAATACAGGATAGACTGTAGTTTGGGATAACATATATACAGTTGAGACTTCGTATCTATAAATTCTGCATCCATGGATTCAACAATTCAAGACTTGTAAATATCCCCCCCCCCCAAAAAAAAAAAATCCCAAAAGCATACCTTGATTTTGCCATAAGGGACACCATTTCACTACAGCATTGTGTATAACAGAACTTGAGCATCCACTATTTTGTTATCCACGATCGCTCCAGAACGTCCCCTCTCAAGTAGCCGAGCCAAACCAGCTCCTTGGTTTACTGAGGAGCTGGCGGCGTTGAAGCGAAAGAAGAGGGAACTAGAGAGCGTGTGGCGTTCGGATCCGAGCGAGCCAAACCGAACACGGTTTGTGTCCTTTTTAAGGGCATATGCCGCGGCAATAAAGGTCGCAAAGAAAGTCTTCTTTGCGGCCACTATTGCGTCTGCCAAAAACCGTCCGGCTGAACTGTTCCGAGTTGTCAGAGGCTTATTAAAACCCTCCACTCAGGACGGGTGCCCTGATGACTCGGCAGCTCGCTGCGAAGCTTTTGCTCGGTTCTTCGCAGACAAAGTCGCTTTGATCCGCTCTGGACTGGATACCATATTAACGGCAGTATCTGAGGATGTAACCCGAGCACCTGCTTGTCCGATTTTGATGGATTCATTTCAATTGGTTCAATCCGAGGATGTGGACAAGGTGCTTGGAGGAATGAGAGCTACTACATGCATCCTAGACCCCTGCCCATCCTGGCTTCTAAAGGAGGCCAGAGGGGGTTTGGCCGAGTGGGTGAAGGTGGTGGTGAATGCCTCCCTTCGGGAAGGCAAAATTCCAGCCAGCTTAAAGCAAGCTGTAATAAAACCGCTGTTGAAGAAGCCATCATTGGACCCCACTCAATTCGTCAACTATCGGCCTGTTTCCAATCTCCCCTTCTTGGGCAAAGTCATGGAACGTGTGGTGGCCTCACAACTCCAGGCATTCTTGGTAGACACAGATTATCTAGACCCGGCACAGTCTGGCTTTAGGCCGGGGCATGGTACCGAGACAGCCTGGTCGCCTTAGTGGATGATCTGCATCGGGAGCTCGACAGGGGGAGTGTGTCCCTGTTGGTGCTGCTCGACCTCTCAGCGGCCTTCGATACCGTCGACCACGGTATCCTTCTGGGACGCCTCGCGGGGATGGGACTTGGAGGTACTGTTTTGCAGTGGCTCCGCTCATTCCTCGAGGGTCGGTCTCAGATGGTGTTATTGGGAGACTCCTGTTCAACCCCACAACCTTTGTCTTGTGGGGTTCCTCAGGGTTCAATACTGTCTCCCATGTTGTTTAACATCTACATGAAGCCGCTGGGCGAGATCATCCGGAGTTTCGGAGTGCGATGTCATCTGTACGCAGATGATGTCCAACTCTTGTCACTCCTTTCCACCTGCTACTAAGGAGGCTGTCGAGGTCCTGAACCGGTGCTTGGCCGCTGTGACGGTCTGGATGGGGGCGAACAAATTGAAATTGAATCCAGACAAGACAGAGGTACTCCTGGTTAGTCGTAAGGCCGAACAGGGTATAGGTTTACAACCTGTGTTAGACGGGGTCGCACTCCCCCTGAAGA